TCCTCTGGACTCGCTCCAACAGCTCCACGTCCCTCCAGTGTCGTTGGCTCCCAAGCTGGACGCAGCCCTCCAAGTGGGGTCTCGAGGGCAGAGCAGAGGGGCAGAACCACCTCCCTCGCCCTGCTGGTCCCACAGCTCTCGATGCAGCCCAGGACAGCTGGCTTTCAGGGCCACAAGCCCACGCTGTTGGCTCACGTTGATCTTATCGTCCACCAAGTCCTGCTTCCCTTTCACACTGTTTCGATAATGATTATCTAATGCCCTAAATCCCCTTATCAAATAAACCCATTCTGAAGACAGACAACTGGGATTTGGTGGGTGCTGTGACACAATGGCAGGGCAGGTAACCGAAAGGTTTCCCTGGCTGCTGGACACGGCAGATGTCTGCTGTCATCGATACCCAGTTGCCATGTGCTTGGAGAGGACCCCACACACACTTAACTGCTTTCTCCAGACGAGCTAACAGCGCTCTCGGCTTTGAATCACCTTCCTTCTGTTCCACGCTAGGAAAAACCATCTCTGAAAGCATCGACTTACTTCGTTTCAATGAGAATGTCCGCATTTGCTGGATTCAGCACAGCTTTACAAATCAGCTCCTGCGTCACCGGAATAGACTTGTTCATGGAAACGCACAGATCCGAGAGGTAATCCAAAAACCTGTTGGAAAACGCGAGCCAAAAGGCTATCAGTCCTTGCTGAGATCTAGACTGAAGCAATCTACATTTTGGAAGGAAAACATTCAGAACTCCATTTTAACATTGCAGAGCGAGACTGTTGCCCGAGGGGGAAGTCATGGCGATTGCCAAAAAAAGAAGTGAACTAGCTGTGCTTCCTTCCTAGCAAGTTGGCGGGTACAGCTTCTCCTCAGGAGGCCAAGAGGAAGAGAGTAATCACGTACCCAAACCCACGGACCTCACCTGGGCTCCCTGTTCTTCCTCACGAGGCTAACAAAAGTGTCAATCTCAGCAGCCGTGATGTGCTTCTCCAAGAGCTTGCGATTGTTATGAAGCAGCGCTGTAATCGTGTCCTCGGCCAAGACGTCGTAGCCAATTTGCTTCTGCATGAAGCCAAACTGCTTCGCAATGTACTCCTTCAAAACACAGAGGGGAGAAGGAAGGCAGTGTGATTAATTACCTTGGAATTGAAGAAAATACTCGGTTAACAGAAAGCAGTAAGATATTGGTCAATATTGACATCCCAAGTAGTGAATTTGATTAGAATCAAATTGTTCTTTTCTTTTGAGAGAAAATAAATGGTGACAGATAAACTTAATGCCTCCCAGGCTAGGCATCACGGAGGCATCTATCCTTATCTAAGTTTGGTTTTAATAAATGGCAACAGAAAATGAACAGCCTTAATTCACAGGTCAACATTCAACGGATCTTATTGTACAGAAGAGTGAAGCAAGTCTTATAATTCACCTGGATTTAGCAGTTTGAATCCAGTTGTTGTCTTCAATTCCCCATAGAACTGGTACTAACTACATTGCATATAGTCTCTGACAGGGACAAAAAATTCCAGGTAGAGTAAAACTCAGCAATATAAAAATGTCTTGCTGACTGCACAATCACAGCACAGCAGCGTTTAATTAATGGGATGCAGCTTTTACTTTTTTTTTTTTGGGGGGGAGCCCAGGAACAATATCAGCGCCATCGAAAGCTACAAACACATTTCAAACCTGGTTCTTTCTGTAATCCTGCTGGGAGTGCCTCAGCACTCTGTAGCAAAGGCGGCAGATGTGTCTGAAAGGAGCGTGACGCTGGTCTCCAAGCTCCTCCAACCGCAACATCGGGCCATCACCGCTGTCCGTAAACGGTGCTTGCAACAACTTAAAAATCTATAGATGAAATAAACAAATAAATAAATAGAAATTCCATGAGATGCAGTCTTCATCTGATTTAAAAAGCAGCGTGTCAGCATCTTGAAATTGTACACCAGAAGCACACCAGAGCTGCCAAATTCATTGCTTTGCCACATTGGTCACCTTTATTCAACACCATCATTCTGTAGTTTTCTCTTCTAGCAATGGCATGCCTGCAGTCTACTGCTAAAAGCTAGAAACTCAGATCTTTCGGACCCAAAAATATGGTCAGGTTTTCTATTTTCTGACTATTCTTCTTGCAGCCAGAGTTTAGAGGTAAACATGGCCTACCTGCTTTAGAATATTCTGTTCCCTCATTAGTTTTTGCCGTTCTCTGTTAGGTTTGGAAAACACCACCTCAAGGACGTCTTGCCCAGAATTAGTTCCGCCAGTAACAAAGTAGACCAAATCCTCCAACAATTTGGTAACAGACCTATGGAAAAGCCAGAATACGAGATTACAAATTCTATCTGTTAAAAGAACAAAGCCAATGTCAGTTTACGTGGATTGCCAAGGGAAAGAAAGAACATGAAGTAGAGACTGACTCAGATGCTGGATAAAGCACACGGTTTTGTATGGAACTTAAAATTAGGAATTAATGCTCCCTTATTGCTATAGCCTTTCTGTCTAAAAGCTAAGCCATAACAGCAGGAAGACGATGATATCACTCAGGGCAACTACACGCTCGCCAAGTTCTATTTGGCAGTTCTGTAAACTGCCAGGGGAAAAAAAAAAATTAAAAAAATCAGGTGATAATCTCTCCCAAGGCCAAATCAAAGACATTGGCTATAGAAGCACACGGGCCCTGGTTTTACGCAGCTGACTCCGCGCCCTTTTTGTGTGGCCACGTACTTCTCACAGAAGATTTGCAAGAAGTCATATGGTCAGTCTTCACAAGATGGATTAGAAATTCCCACACCCGATTTGCAAAGCCCATCAAGAAAGGTTTGCTGGGGATTATTCCTCCCAGCTCACAACAGCAGTTCTCATGCTCTCATTTCCCAGAGCAACAGGCTTGAGAATCTCCACTACCAGCACGTCGACAGTAAAACCATCAAGTTGGTTTGGTTTTTTTTTAAAATCTCATCAAGGAGGAAACAAAATCCCCTTCGAGCATACACAGATAAAATTCTCAAAGGAACTGTTAAAGGAAACAATATTATCTGAACCAAATTCTTGCTTCCTTACCTTCTTTCATTCTGGGTTATTGTTCCTTTTTCCAATTTGCCAGCAATGGAACCTAAAACCTTGCTTGCATCATTCGCAAAATCCAAGTCCCGAACCTCAGCAGGGGAAACTGGTACTATAGCAAAAGCTTCTTTGTCCTCTTTCACGGGAGAAGTACCAATCTGAAACCCAGAGACGTTTTATCATCAAGCCAAAAGGCAGAAAACAAAGTAGAGACTCACATATTCCATGATAGTAACACCGAAGAAAAGCCGTGCTCCACTCAGTATGAAGCCACTGATGAAGTCAAATTTTGAGAACAGTACAACTCTGTGCAAGCTCAAAGCTGTTCCTAAACCCAGAGAAACATCGGGTGAGATGAAAAAACATTGCTGTAAAACTAGAGGGAAAAAAAAAAAGGTCCTCCCCATAATGTTGTAGAGGTGGAATTGAACAGCACAACTAGGAAACTCTCATGAAAACTAGTCTTTAGGATGAAATATTTTGTGTAGGCAGCATTCATTACAGTTACCCTGCTTGATGTTTGACCAGCCCAGCAGTGTGAAGGGTCTGGAATTTCTGACAGCAACGCTTTCTGCAAAAGTACACGAGTTAAGGGAGTGCTCACGCCAAGTAACAGAACTTACTTTAAGCATCACAGGTTTCTCCTCCTCTTTATCAATAGGGATATTGGTGCTATGAACCCAGGTGTTAGTGCAAAGGTGCCGAAGTCTGACATAAGAGTTCCTGAAAGAAAGTCCAAAATTTCAAAGCATGAGTCAGTTTCCCCAGATGGGAAATCTCTTCACATTGTTCAAATTGCAAGATGTTGGCAGGAGTAAGTAGGAAAAAAAGTGTCATCTTTATCCATGCTGCATGCCATAACAGGAGCAAGAGGCTCGCCATATTTTATTCTGTAAATTCACCTTAAGAAGTCTCCTTACATAACGAAATAGATTCTGCTGGAAAACAGAATGACATCAGTATTTTGTTGGTGTAACTCAGCTGCTGCACAAGAACGAGTTAAGCGTCGTAACTCCTCACATTTCCACGTGCTATAAAGTGTATGTGAGCTGTCAGCTTCCTCCCTTACTTTTGTATTTTTCAGCCCGTAACTCCCTGATTATTTTCTGTTTTCTAAACTAGAGAAATTTTTCCCTCTTTGTATAGCCAGTCAATGTCGTGCAAGCAAAGGTCCACTAAGGTACCAAAACAGGAGACAAGCACGCAACAAGCACAAGTCCCACGGGGACAGCAGTTCCCGAACCATTTCCTCAGGTATTTCTGGCAATGACACACAAAAAAGTGCTCAATACTTCACATTACATCCTAGCTAACATGGTGCAGTCAGGTCACGGGCATGGCTTGATAGGACACACCCAAGGCTTTCCATCCCAGGTCGGTCACTGATGAGGAACATGCTTCATCTCAATTTTCCCATCTATAAAATGGTGTTGTCTTAGTTATAACTCAATTTTGAAGTACTAAAGTGAAGCTCCAGGCACTTGCTAAGTATTTCTGTATTAATTTGAGGAAGAACTTTAATTCCAAAGGATAGGAGGAAAATCATGGGAGATGGCTTTTCAAATCACAAAAGAGAAACCATCACACTCCAAAGCAGAGCTTCAGCTCTAAGAGCACGCTCAGCTGTACCTGGGGACGAGGCTGTCTCCTCCTCGCAAGGTGGTCGGGTCCAACTCGAATATGGAGGAGATATCGTTTCCTTCGGGCACAGACACCAGGGAGTAGGCCATCTTCTCCTGAGCGCTGCGCAAGCCTCTCCTGGAGGCATCCTGCTCAGGGTCCAGCTGTGGAAGAAGTCCCATCGCAGTCAGTCAGAGCAGGTCCTGCAGACCCACCTGCCTGGTGTCACAGAGACGTGTCCTGTCCCCTGCGGGCATGTCTCTGAACCACTCCAAGCACTGGTTAACACAGCTGGGCTGCCGGACACCAGGAAAAATGACAAGAAGCTGCTCTTGCCAACCATTTCTTCCCTTCCCCTGGTGTTAATAACTTCCGGATTGCAAACACAACAAACCCTAAACCACCGAAGCGATGTCTTGACGGTGCCAGGAGAGACTTGAGCTGCCCCAGCGATTCACCCCACAGCGCACTGGGAACTCCCATTGGTTTCGGCTGCCCTGCATTTGCTAAGATCCCCACCTCGACACTCCTAGCTCTCGAAACGTATCCGGCATATGGCAATTCTCACTCTAACAAAACAATTACATGAGCTGTAAATAGAAAAAAAAAAAACCAGCAACGCTATGTACCAACAATCTGGCTGGGAAATAATCAACTTCAGCAGCAAAAACGGGACTCGCATCTATCAAATCAAAGACAAACAAAACAAAAAGCTAACCAAGAAGTCAGATGTCTTGCTGTTCATGCTACAGCTGATGATGGACTCAAGCACAACGACGTACTACAGAGGCCGTGGCATCAGAAGTATCTTTATTTTCAAGGTGCTAGCAAATTACCAGCCTCCTTCAGCAAAGTAAAGATACTAATATCAGCTAAATAAACCCCTGGATTTTCCGATGAAAGGGCAAAAGGGTAGGAAAAAATAAAGGTAAATTGGAAAAAAGGAACAGCAACTTCCTCTAAAACCAGTTATCACCAGTCAGTAAAAAAGCTGCTACGTGTCTGACACCGCACAGGAGCCAGCCGTCCCTGTATAATCATCTAAATCTTACACGTAATTTCCAAAGTGATCAAACAACCAATTTATCAGCTTCTCCGTGACCGTGGCGCCAGTGGGAGGCAGGCACCGAAACCAGTCAGCAACTCCAGTAGCTGTCCTTGCAAGTGGTGGTGTAAGGCACTGCAATCCTTAAACACACAGAAAAGGCATCTAATGCTGCTTGTGCCTCCAAATATTCTGTAGTTAGCACACTGGCTGCAAAGTAGTGACATTTAAAGTCTGATTTTGCACATGGGAACAGACAGTTAGCTGTATGGAACAGAAATACACATTGGGAGCGTGCCTTCAAGAGAAGCAGCAACTGTACACTCAACAGAGTCCATCTGGAGGCTTTGCATCGGGAGAAACTCGCTCACTTGGAATGGATTCTCCAAATTTGAGCTGTCTCCATCCTCACAGTCAAGGCAGTTGCTCCGCATTCACAATTTGTACTTCAGGAGGCAACTGGACACCGTGGCAAAGCTGAAAACAAGTAATAAATCAGCACGTAGGACACGGGGCAATTTAGGGAGAACTAAAACGTCAACCGCAACGCTGACAACGGCAGTACCCTTCAATGTTGAAAGGTACTGGCTGGCAGCTCCCCCTCACCCATTTAGACCCCATTCTTGTAGGGCTCACGGAGGTAGAAGGAAAACAACAGCAAAAAACAGAACTGTGCAAGGAAACGTTCCGTCTTGCCGACGGTTCCCATTTGGATCCAGCTGGAGTTTGGATAAAGTTGGATAAAGCAGCCTACACCAACCTGCCACCCATGAACGTTAAGGGATGCGGTAATTTTGTGTCAGAAACGAATTATGTGCTCCTGAGCCTATTCTTTATGGTCTATTTTTGCCACCTAGTGGTAAAGAGACAGAGCAAGGAAAAAAAAATCAGTATAGCTCTGAAGCCAGAGTGTTGTTATTGACTGCACTCGGCAGGAGGAGACGTGAGCCTGTCACCAGCAGGATGGGTGTCTGCATAAACGACCTCAACACTGATTAACTTCCAAAAAGTTAAGCAAACAAAATAGCTTGATGTTGAATTCTACCCTCCCCCAAAAAAATAGCTTGGGGCAGGGGGAGGTTGCTCATTTTTCTGGTATGTTTATTGAAGTCAAGCTGTCAGAAGATCAGTGTTTGCTTCCAAATGCCACCAGGAACTAATCAGGATAACAGCTCAATATCTGGGGGCAAGGCTAAACATTTCAATGGCCAGGCTATAATGACAAATCCTTTTAGGAGGAAAAAATCCACCCTGCAGGATTTCAAAGCATCACGGTGCGTTCATCTTTTAAAAACCGGAGGAGTAGTTCTTCTTCATATCCAAATGGAGCAAATCTTCCATAATACAGGATAAATGACCAAGAAAGCTGCATAAGCCTGAAGTCAAATTCAACTAAAAAAATAAAATATGTAATCCACAATGGAAAGTGCTGTTCCAGTTTCATGTTTTCAGCTACTGAAGCAATGTTGTTTCCCTGTCACACCAAAGAGAAGCTTCTATTAATACAAAGCATCACCACACTCAATTTTCGACACAACAACATTTACTGAAAACAACACAGACTTGCTTTCACAGGAAAATCAGAAGAATGGCACTGAAATCATTCTCACTCTGCCATTCTTGCTCTCTAGACCCTTTATCCTGGCTTTCCTGTGACAAGCTAAAACGAGAGGAGGAATTAATTTCTTAAACAAAGAAGCGAGACGACTGACTGGCACGGCACTACATGAACATCCCGTTAGGGACACCTGCCATCTGGTGTCACCTTGAGCTTTTCAGACCTATTCAGGAGAGTGCTTCAAGGAAGCAAAGGTTTAAGAAACAGGAAGACAGAAAAAGAGATGGAACAAAGAGGGGAAGCGAGGGGGCCTAGGTAATGCATAAATCCAGTTCCAAGTGCATTGCTTTGCACGAAAGCCTAGTCCAGCCCTCAATATCCACTCCTCTGGACGGCCTTAAAAGCCTTCGAGACCATTCTCAGGGTTTTTTTTTTAGTTTTGTCACTAGTACCAAAGCCTGGACCATCTATCCACTGGCCAGGTCAACACAAGGGCCTGTATCAATCAGGGGCAAGATCATACTCTTGCCTATACTTACTGAGGATTGACACTCCAGGTCATCTTCCTCATAGTCAGGGTTTACCTGATGGAACAGAATCACAGGCACGTCAAAACTCTAACAGAGCTGGAAGTGGGAAACAACCTCAGCGTGGTCTAAGCTTATTTTGAAAAACAAAATAAAAAAAAACAAAACAAAACAAAAACTCTACTGCTACAGCACTATCAGGCATGCAGAACAAATACACTTTGCAAAGTTTCTAATGAGGCACCTGTCTGCCCAGGAATTAAGCAGTTAAGTCACCTGCAAACAGGCAGAGAAATTTATCTTGTTCAGGACAATCTCTAAAGGAGCAAGAAGGGTAGACAGCTACCAAGTGTCAGGGTTTGTTTTTTTTAATATCCCAAGTGGAATTTCCAACCAGAAATTACTGAGTTTGGCACAAATCTTTGCAAACAACCACTGTTCTAACCATGGATCAGGTGAGCAATTTCCTCCAGTACACACGATGCAAGGGCATGCTTTTATTCCGGCTGATTAGCAAACCCAAGATTTACTGGAAAAGTTCTATACTGGATCACTACTGAAAAGGATTTGCAAGTGTGCATGTGACAAAACGCTGCTGTTTTTCAATCTGCTTATTAGAGGAATATAAAACGGGATATTTAATCTGGACTTTTCCCACTGAAGCTCTCGGGTCAGTAGCACGGACTGAGAGAGACTTGCCCTGCAACGTACTCTTAAATCCAGGACAGCTTTCACTGACAAAGGTTTGTACACTGGCATGTTGATATATCCATGCCTTAAAGGAAATGCAAGTAGTTTTAATAAGCATTTACAAATGTTAAGCAGAAAAATTCCCCAAATTATACAGCCCTCAGTCGTTTTTACTTAAAATGTCTTGAAATCTTATTTCAATGGGGGAAAGATGTCCACGACGGAGAAAGAGACTTGTTTCTTTTGTTCTTGGACAACTAAGCATCATCTGCAGTTTTTACAGGACTGGTCTGAAGCCTAACTGGATTTTCATTCTGCAAGCTGTTCTACAATTCCGCTCGGAGACAACTAACAATAGTCAAATTCATTTTCACCTCAAAGGCTCTCAGCTATTTACGATTTATTCATCTATTAATAAATTCATCTTGATTTTACTGCCCACATGACAGGATGGTATTTAGTCTCTATTCTTTGCAGGAGAAGAGTTATTGCCTCTAGAATTCATATCAAACACCAATTACGCTCAAGACTGCCCCTGTACCGTGGTGTTCCTTCAAATCTCTTTCATCTTGTTCTCCATGTTTAACCACTTCATTTTCTACTCATACTAAGGACCCAAATACCAGTCTGTGTCTACTTTTAAGGGCAAGAAGTGAAAGATTTTTTTTTCAGAAAGGTCATACTAAGGACCCAAATACCAGTCTGTGTCCATTTTTAAGGGCAAGAAGTGAAAGATTTTTTTTCAGAAAGGTGTAAAAAAGGAAGAAAATACCATGGAAGGAAAGGCAGAATTCCCAAAAGCAAGCCCAAACACCTACCTCGGCTGCCAGGTAGTGTCCAGTAGCAAGGTGCTTGAACCTGAAGAGGCTGTTCCAGTACCCCGCGCCCCCACGGCAAGGATCATGCTGCACCACCTACAAGGAAAGGGAAACCACGCCGACACTGTACGTCAAGGACCTTTACCTTGAAACACAGCACTTACCATATCTCACGTACGGGTAAAGAGAAAACAGAGCAAAGAGCTCCAGAAAAGATGAAACCACCTCTCATATGTGAACGCCACGTGCAGCACAGAATCATAGAATCATTCAGGTTGGCAAAGACTTTTGGGATCGAGTCCAACCATGAACTCTGGTCTACAAAGCTCACTCCTAAACCATCTCCCCCAACCCCACATCCAGGTACAGTGACTCCACCACTTTCCCGGGCAGCCTATTCCAATGTTTGACTACTCTTTCTGTGAAAATCTTTTCTTAATGTCCAGTCTAACAATCCCCTGTTGCAGTCTGAAGCTGTTCCCTCATTCTACTGCTAATTAAAAGCTAATTAGGGGGCCGGTTAGCTCAGTGGTTTGAGCGCGGT